GGTAATTTTAGGGTAAAGCTCAGGAGGTATTTGCATCTTTGCCTGCTGAGAATTCTTTCGATTTTAAATTTGTTCAACAGAGCATCTTGAATGCATACCAGCAGATCCCAGAGGCACATAGACAAAAATTCAGAAGTTTAAAAAGAGCACATGACCATACTATTTCTGACTTTGTACGGGTTAAATTAAATCACTGATAAATGGGTTAAAGCACTTAATATTACAGAGTTTGAGACTTTGAGAGACCTCATAGTAGCTGAGAAAGTATTGGGATGTCTACCAGAGAAATTATCTTTGTTTATGGCAGAAAATAAACAAACCACTGATCTTATGAAACGAGCCAAGCTAGCTGATGAGCATGAATTACTTACTAAAGTGCCTTTTAGAGCACCAATTAATCATTATAATGCTATAACTAATCATTATGCTCCTAAAACTCATGTTTTCCAGACCCGACCAGCTACTTCACCTTCTCCCCTGAACCCTTCTCCTGTAAAGCCTAAATCTGAGACACCACAGACAGGGTTGTCAACCTCAAGTAATGTAGTGATTAAGCCTGCAGTGGGTTCGGCTGTTCCGACCACTGGCAGGTATTGCACGCATTGCAGGAGAAGAGGTCATGTGGTAAATTCCTTCTATGCTTTGCACCCTGAGTTGAGACTGGTCTGATAATGAGTAGGGGTTTGCAAACCTTTAATGCCAATGTTGCTCCAGTCATGCCCAAGTGGATGACTAAATTTGATCCATACCTACATTCAGGTACCTTATTATGTACTAGTCAAACCTGAACCTGGAACCTGGAAGCCAGTGCAGTTGTTATTATTTTTTTTTATTTTATTGCAATGCTACAGTTTACAGAAAACACACACTTATATAACAATATACCAATCAGTGTTCGAAGACCTCGTCCAGCTCCTCGGGGGTCGGGTGCGTACCCAAGATACAGCACGCATTTCCCCTCTGAACAGCGACACTGAGGCGCTGGAACATGAAACTGGCCGCTCTTGGGTCTCTAGTCTTCCCAATGAGTTCCTCGCCCAGCTCCTTCAGGAACTTAAGTGCACATTTACCCCAGGCGCCCAGAGTCTCAGAGCCTATTGGCACGAACCTGTAACAACGTTCTAGGTCCCTGTACTTGTTAGTTTTCTGGGTCTCCCTGAAGGTGGCCGCCCCGCCTCCCTCAGCTGCGCTGTAAGGTAGATAGGTATCAGCCAATGTGGATGCACACGTGTAGTCCCACACGACCTGTTTACCTTCCCTCTACGGCTGCTGGGTGACTCCATCTGGGCGTTTTTGGCTGTTGTCAGGTCTGCACAACTGAGGTTCCCTTTGTGCTGGGCACCCAGCTGAAGCCAAATTACTCTTGATGATGTCATTGACTGCTTCATGTCTGGCAATCTTTCCCTGTGTCTTACGACAGATGATACCATGACTGCCGTATTGGTCTGCCCGTGCATGGCCGCAAATACACCGGTGCTCGGTGGAGATAGGGGCGGCAAGGCGCAGAGCAACACCAATACTTAGGGTCCGATGGTCCAGGCGGGTGCCCAAGGCGGAATTAGGGACTGCCGACAGGAAGTCCGCGGCATGGGGCGCTTGCACAGCTAGAAGACGCGCTTTGTCCTTCCTGAAAGCTGCCTCCAGCAATGATGTGGCGATGTTCTCCACTATGGGGCTATCCCATTTGGACTGTTTGCAGTCATTTGGACAAGTCGATCGAGGATGAGAGTTGACAAGAGTGTCCCACTGACCGGCTCCTTCCGCGAATTTGGGATCATGAATCCCAATGGAGTCTCTTAGGTGTTCCGGTAGTATTTCCTTAACTAATTCACCTGTTGCACTGGTCGAGGATAAGAATGCTGGCAATGCTAACTGTGTCGCCTTGCGAATACCTATTCCCCCGAGTCTAACTGGGAGCGTTGCTTGGTCCCATTGGTCATCTTGCAGGGAGAGGTTTAACACTTTCACGGTTATTGACCTTAGGAGTGTGTCATATTCTGTTAATTTTGGGCAGTCGAAGGAAGGAGCACACCTTAGAAAATAGGTCAGTCTGGGCAAAGCCAGGCACCTTGTGAGAAGGTACAAAGCATCGTGGGCGTCCAAAGCCCCTATTCTTCCCTCTATCCTCCTCAGATCGTTCAGCTTTTCTTCGAGGACTACCTCAATGGCGCTCGAGCCCAGAGGTGCCCCTAGCAGCACACTGTCGGTGGGAGCGATCACTTGGGCTCCTGGCAATATGATTCGCACTACATCTATGGTTGGTTGGCTAGATGAGATGATTTCACTTTTTAATGGGTTTAGGGTGAGTCCTAACTCCTCTCCCTTAGATTTCACCAGCTGTAGATCTTCTAGCAGGGATTCCTGTGTCCCTGCCAGGGTGCCATCGTCCAGGAACCAGATGTTGAGTTCGCTGGTCAACCTGCTTGTGACCTCTTTAACAGCCATGCAAAAAAGAAAAGGGGCAAGTGGGTCTCCCTGCTGGACACCTTCTGCAGAAACAACTTCATGTTCCCCAAACAGCAGCGTCGATTCCCTACTGTACCCTGCTGAGACGAAGGGGAGTAGAGAAGGAAAGCTTGTTCGAACTGCTTCCAGTACCACATCCATTTTTACCTGGTTGAAGGCATTTTTAAAGTCTAATTTAATTCATGCCTTATTTTCTGGGAGGTGCTTGATATAGGCTCATGCTGCATGAGCTGCTGCTTCACAGCCATGGGGGACACCAAAACCTAGTTGATGGGGTCGAAGCATCGTCGCAGCGTCTATGCTAATTTTTCTGACAGCTGCCCTAGCAACAAGGCGCCGAAGTGTGTTACCCACGGCAATGGGTCTGACTCCACCATCTTTCTTCTTGAGGCCACAAAGGGATGCTCCAAAGAAAAAGGGTTTATTTATATATATATATATATATATATATATATATATATATATATATATATATATATATATATATATATATATATATATATATATATATATATATATATATATATATATGTCGTACCTAATAGCCAGAACGCACTTCTCAGCCTACTATTCAAGGCCCGATTTGCCTAATAAGCCAAGTTTTCATGAATTAATGTTTTTTTCGTCTACCTAACCTACCTAACCTAACCTAACCTAGCTTTTTTGGCTACCTAACCTAACCTTACCTATAAATATAGGTTAGGTTAGGTTAGGTAGGGTTGGTTAGGTTCGGTCATATATCTACGTTAATTTTAACTCCAATAAAAAAAATTGACCTCATACATAGAGAAAAGGGTTGCTTTATCATTTCATAAGAAAAAAATTATAGTAAATATATTAATTCCGGAAAACTTGGCTTATTAGGCAAATCGGGCCTTGCATAGTAGGCTGAGAAGTGAGTTCTGGCTACTAGGTACGACATATATATATATATATATATATATATATATATATATATATATATATATATATATATATATATATATATATATATATATATATATATATATATATATATATATGTCGTACCTAGTAGCCAGAACGCACTTCTCAGCCTACTATGCAAGGCCCGATTTGCCTAATAAGCCAAGTTTTCATGAATTAATATATTTTCTCTAATTTTTTTCTTATGAAATGATAAAGCTACCCATTTCATTATGTATGAGGTCAATTTTATTTTATTGGAGATAAAATTAACGTAGATATATGACCGAACCTAACCAACCCTACCTAACCTAACCTAACCTATCTTTATAGGTTAGGTTGGGTTAGGTACCCGAAAAAGTTAGGTTAGGTTAGGTTAGGTAGGTTAGGTAGTCGAAAAAACATTAATTCATGAAAACTTGGCTTATTAGGCAAATCGGGCCTTGCATAGTAGGCTGAGAAGTGTGTTCTGGCTACTAGGTACGACATTATATATATATATATATATATATATATATATATATATATATATATATATATATATATATATATATATATATATATATATATATATATATATATATATATATATATATATATATATATATATATATATATATATATATATATATATATATATATATGTGTGTGTGTGTGTGTGTGTGTGTATCACGAAAATAAACACGTGATTAAAAATGTGACAATGTCAGACCACGGAGGAAAAATGAAACAGAAATTTCCTTAAGTACTTTCGTATATTAATACATCTTCAGAAGGAGTGATTTTACAGATCGAGTACTGGACATAAATGGCAGGAGAGAATGGTGGAGTGAAGTGAGGTACAATACGTGTACACTGAAGAGGGCCTATTGGCCCATCTGATGCAGCCCATTGGCCCATCTGATGCAGCAACCACACACAGGCCCACAAAGAGATAATTATAGCATAAAATAGTAAATATATACAATGAATTAGTGAGACAAATGTGTTCCAATGATCCTACTTAAATCGCCCTTTAATTGATCTATTAAAAATGGATCTAAGTTATATAGACCACTGCTAATGTTCAAATTACTTTCTTTTGTAATCTGTATCAAAGCAGATTCAATTATGTTTCTGTTATAGGTGCTTTTACAATTCGTTATTGAAGAAGCCATCTCCCAATCAATTTGGTGAGCATCTTCTGATGCTCACCAAATTGCTCTTCATCTTCATCTTCTTCATCTTCTGATCTTCTTCTTCACCATCTTCTTCTTTTCATTTTTCCTCCGTGGTCTGACATTGTCATATATATATATATATATATATATATATATATATATATATATATATATATATATATATATATATATATATATATATATATATATATGCAATTGACGATCACAAAACACTGATCATTTTATGCGGAAAATCCACAGAGAAATATGAAATGAGGTGAACGTTTCGGCTTGTTAAAGCCTTTGCCTTTGACAAAGACTTTAACAAGCCGAAACGTTCACCTCATTTCATATTTCTCTGTGGATTTTCCGCATATATATATATATATATATATATATATATATATATATATATATATATATATATATATATATATATATATATATATATATATATATATATGAGAAAGCTGCATGAACGCGCAAGCCATATATCACTAAGAACTCTTTGACCCGGCCAGGATTCGAACCCATGTCATCCAGGATCACCCCTAAACGTACACAGTACCAGTGACATGAATTACTGGATAATTAAATGGGTATTGCCTCATTCTTGGAATGTACCACACATACACTTATCCTTTACATAATTTTACACCTATCACAAATCTTACAAATTATAAAGCTATATAATTTATATAATCATGGACTTACATTAATATTCACTACACTTCATTTTTCACTAATTCACTACATTTTATAAATTAAGATTTAATAAAATTGTTTTTTGTAATTGATTTACCCGACAATTTTGCATGAATTGGTCCTATTAATTGAATGATTAAAATCCATTAAGTGACCAAACAATGCATTGGACTCTTGACCTGTTCTTATAATATATTTGTGTTAATTTATTCTTTGGTAAAGATGTTTATACTTACTTGACCAACATAGAACTTATTACAATCTTTACAGAGAATTTTATACGTACATCCAATGGAATTTGAAGTGAGATGGCTTTTTATGATTTGTAAATGCTACAGTGATATGAAATTATTATAGTAATATATGAATTTCATTGAAATTATCATTAAATGGCATAATTATTGTATTCCTAATATTGTATTCTTCTTTTGTCAAACTAAAGAAAGTGTTACGAGTAATTAGGCAACTTTATCAATGACTTTGGGTATTTTAAATTTAAACCTAGACTATATATGGCACTAATTTCACTAATATCAGTAATCTTCACTAATATTACTGATTATTTCACTAATAACCAGTAATCTATCTGTGCGTTCAAGAGCACATACTTTTAGCTTTCGATGATAATGCAGTTTGAAGAAGCTTTTCGGTATCTTCAAATCTTCCCTCCGCTGCTAAGTGCCTGGCCCGACTAAGAAAACTGTAGGTGTAATATTTTAAATGACGGTCGAACAGTTGCATCAGTATTTCTAGGTGGCCATTCATGGCAGCTAGGAGTAGAGAATTCTTATAAACCACGTCTTTACCGGTGCAGTAGGAGCGGTAGAGGAGATAGGCGACCTCGTCACTCGTCCCGCCTGCTGCCACCACCAGCCGAGTCCCGTCCAGCGTCTCTTCGTCATATTTCTTGATGGTATTTCTAACCTCTTCAAGATCTTCGGCAAGGGCAGCCTTAGCCAAAGCCTCATCGAACTTCGTATCCACTAAAGTGAGTAACTCGGTTATCCTCTTCCAGTGCCGCCTTGTCACCATCTTTGACAGCACTTCACAAAGACATTCATCCTTATACCTAAAATTCTGCTGGAGGACTGTGAACACACTTTCCCACAGCCCCTGATCGTCAGCTCTCTGGATCAAGCTCTTGAACGTCTTAGTTGGCAACGGCAAGTTTCGTCTAAGGACCTGATGTACAATATCCCACTGATTATTATCAGCGGCTTTGGTGATGACAAAGTCTGCTTCTTCACATGTCATCTTGACGTAGACGTCAAGGATTATCCACACGACCTTCCAGTGTCTTTGAGCGGCAGCAGCCATGATAGCAGTCATGTTTACTTTGCCTGCTATTCTTGCAGGAACTGACAGATCAATGTGGCACTGAAAAGAATAGTCTTGGATTTTATTATAATTTTAAAAATAAAGTTCAATATTACAATCGTCAGGGAAATAAATGGTATTTGTCAGCTCTAACTGCCGATCATTAGACTATGAAAATGCTTTAGAGGATTCAACAAGACAGTATTCACCCCTCAAACTCTTCTAAAATAAAAGCAAAGACCAACAACCATAGGAGAAAATGTTAATAAATTTACAGGGCATCGAACTGGCAGCCACAGGTCACTGACCTGAGTTTACCTGAGTTTACATCAGTTTACCTGAGTTTACCTGAGTTTACATCAGTTTACTTGAGTTTACCTCAGTTTACCTGAGTTTACCTCAGTTTACATGAGTTTACATGAGTTTACCTGAGTGTACTCATGTTTGTTGATGATTATGTTGGAAGCTTTCATCAATGTTGACTGATGTTAAGGATTATATATAACATGTGTAAGTATATCTCAAGTCAGCTGGGGATAGAAACTTTATCTTCTGGACAAGAGACAAGTACAAACTATGAATGATTATTGATCTAGTAAATGGGGGAGCGAATTTTTATACTCTGTTTTCTATTTTCAGACAACATTCAGCCTCCTTGTTTAGATCCCTAAACATGTTAAACATAAACTTATTTATTTATTTATTTATGCATATACAAGAATGTACATAAGGAATGTGAGGATACAATTATGGTAATTACAGTCTTGTAAAGCCACTAGCACGCGCAGCGTTTCGGGCAGTCACTCCATACATTTTCTTGTACATAACCTTGTTCCTAAATGCAAATCCTGATCTGAAACTCTTTCTTGACAGATGTAATAAAACCTCTAATCACCACACCAGAAATAAATATCTCTTTGATATCCTCAGAGTCAAACTAAATCTGTGTAAACACTCTATGCAAATAAAGGAAACTAGTCAGTGGAACTCACTCCCTAACGAATTGAAAAGTTGTCTAACCTATGCCTTATTCAAAAATAAAAGCAAAAAGTACCTAATTTCATCCTCATAGTTTCCTAATAGTGCCTTAAACTCGCACTGTATATTATATCTTGTGAGTTTAAAGCACTAGCTAGGAAACTGTAAGGATATTAGGTATCTTTTTGGTTTTATTTTTGAATAAGGCAAACGTTGGACAGATTTTCAATTCGTTTTAGAATGAGTTCCATAAACTAGATCTCTTTATTTGAATAGAGTATTTACATAGATTGAGTTCGACTCTGGGGATATCAAAGATATATTTATTTCTGGTGTGGTGATAATGGGTCCTATTACATATGTCCATGGAGAGTTTCAGAAGAAGAGTTTGCATTTAAGAACAGGATTTTGTAAATGTAAATGGCACTAGAGAATGTGTGGAGTGAGTTTATGTTAGCATGATTAGGGATTTAAACAAAGGGGTTGAGTGTTGTCCGAAAGCAGAGATTGTTATTGTTCTGATAGCAAATTTTTGCTGGGTGATGATGGACTTGAGGTAGATTTCACTGGTTGAACCCCATGCACAGATACCATATGTAAGATAAGGATAGATTAGCGCATAGTATATTAATAGGAGAGCAGAGTTTGGAAAATAATATCTGATTTTAGAGAGTATACCAACCGTTTGTGAGACTTTCTTAGTTATGTGTTGTATGTGGGTGCTAAAGTTGCATCGCTTGTCTAGGTATAGGCCAAGGAACTTTCCGTAATTTTTATTGCTGATGTTAACATTGTCTATCTGAAGGGGGCGTACTAGGAAAACTAAAGTTGTTGTTCAATGTCAACCATTATTTGTTGACTAGTTGTATATGAAAAGGGCTGCAATTGTTCTAAGTTTCAGTACTGTAGCCTAAATAGTAAGGAAGATTTTTAATTTTTTTATTTTTTTCAACGAATTTTACACATTTTCAAGTGTAAATGAACAAACACACCTTTCAGATATAATCATTCTATGACACTTTTCTGACACATTATCATATAATAAAGGATCAATAGGAGGGGATTTTCCAAAACGTCTTTAGTTCTCCCTAATACAAATAGTCTAAGTTCCCCCCCCCCCCCAAAAATTATGCAAATATATCATGTTTATTGCTATTATAAAATCAATAAATGAACTCAGGATAAAACGCTTCCTTACGATTTTAGAGACAAACTTTTACATATAAGGTGTAAGTTTCATGTAAATTGAATAAAAAATGAAAGAGATATGCACTTTCAAGTAACATAAATATTCAAGTAAGTAAAAAATAAAGTCTAAGGTGTTGCCCTCTGTGGCTGAGGTTGACATCAACCAATTTCCTACAAAATTTGCACCCTTACAGATAGGCTTACGTGCAGTCAGGTGTACAAGTTTCATGCAAATCGCCTTATAAACAAAAGAGAGAGATAAAATTAAAAAAAAAAATGCCTTTTTTTTAACTAAAAAATTTTTTAATAAAACTAATTATAATTTGTTTTTAATATATGCTATTGTGATAGCTGAGAGTCATAGACATGATTTCAGTTGACATTTTTGTTTGATAATCGTTTTTGACCATTTTGGAAAATTTTTGACATATAATTCAATATTTTTTTTTCACCCTTCCTATTTATGCTACGATGCTGAGACTTGGACCAAATGAAACCCTTTTTTATATACAACTTGTCAAAAAAGTTTGATTGAAATCGAACGAGTTTTTATTTATTGCATTTTTGGGCAAATTTGGAAAATTATGCCTCCTGAAGCTGAATTGAATTTGTTGATTTTCTTCCAAATAAGATGAAGTAGGTTTTTTTATGTTTAGTGTGAGTTTGTTGGTTGACATCCACAAGTGGACTTTTTTTAACTCATTATTCACAGCATTATTTAGTGTATGTGGGTTGGGGTCTGAGCTAGTAGATGAGGGTAGTATCATTAGCCAACAATATAGATTTAAGAATGTTAGAGACATTAGACAGATCATTGATGTATATAAGAAGTAGTAGAGGTCCTAGGACGCTGCCCAGTGACACTCCTATGGGTAATGGTAGAGTGGGAGAAGTTATATCAATGATGGCTACATATTTCTGTCTATCACTAAGATAGGATCGGATATAGTTCAGGGAAAGGCCCAGATTCCATAATGGTGGAGTTCAAGTAAGAGGTAGTTATGGTTAACATTATCAAAGGCCTTTCTTAGGTCAATGAAGAGTCCAATCGGAAACTCATTTTTGTCAAGGGCTGAGTAGATTATATCAAGCAGACTAACAATTGCATCGTTGGTACGCTTTTGGGAGTGGAAGCCAAACTGACAGGGACTTAGTATGTTGAATTTTATGAGGTAGGAGTAGAGCTGTTTGTAAATATTTTTTTCAAATATTTTTGATAATATAGGTAGATTTGATATTTTTCTGTAATTGTTTATGTCTGTCTGATTGCCTCCTTTATGAACTGGCGTTACTAGTGCTTTTTTGTGGATATCAGAGAAGGTATGACACTCTAGGGATTTGTTGAACAGCAGAGTTATGGGAGGCGCAAGGGCATGGGAGACACTCTTGTATACCATGGATGGTATTTCATTAATATTCCCAGCTTTGGTTTTTAGTGAGTGAATGATGGACACAACATTATTCTGTCCATATGGACACAACATCTGTCCATATGTTGGTTAGCACCAACTGATTAAAAGAAGCTATTAAATTCAGTTATTAAGCTATTAAGTTAGTCAGCTAGTCAGTTAGAAGCTATTAAATTCATGCCCGAAACGCTTTGCGTAATAGTGGCTTTAGGCATTGTATGTACTAGCTCTACCTATAAGTCAACCAATCCTTGTAAAAATTTATTGTATGTATGTACCTTACCTAAATAAAATTGTATTGTATTGTATAGTTGCCGTTTCTAAATCTGTTGCAGGTGTATAACCATCCATGGAGAGTTTTATCTGGATATGTGAATGATGTTCAGATCCTAGGATGTTAGAGATGGCTCTCCGTGTGCTTTTCATGTTGCCTTTTGCTTCTTTACATCTATTTTCATAATAGGAAAGTATATATAGACAGAACAATTGAGAGTGTGCACAGAATCTTGATATTTAACATGTTCAAAGATTTTAGTAAGAGCAGAGTGGTGTCTGGGCAACCCGTTCTCGCAAATTTAATAAGTCAATATTGACTTATTAAATATGTGCATAGGTGACATACTTAACATAATAGTTTCCCTTGAAAAGCTTCATAGAAAACACCGACCTTACCTAACCTACTTAGTATGTTAAGATAAGCATCTTATTGCTTCGTAATTACAATTATTACCTAACCTATACCTATAATAGGTTAAGTAACAATTGTAATTACGAAGCTATAAGATGCTTATTTTAACATACTAAGTAGGTTAGGTAAGGTCGGTGTTTTCTATGAAGCTTTTCAACGGAAACTATTATGTTTAGTATGTCACCTATGCACGCAACTAATAAGTCAATATTGACTTATTAAATTTGTGAGAACGGGTTGTGTCTGGGACTGGAATTTATGATTGATGTAATTGCTGATTTTTTGAGTAATTTGGGGTCAGAGGTAATTAAGGGTTGTAGATATATGTAAATAAAAGTGCAAAATTTAGAAATACCTTCAGTTTTGAGGTAAGGAGAACACTGACGCAGTCGTCATATCCAGAGTGGGCAGCTATATACATTGGGGTACAGTTCATGCCACACTCCGTGTCATGACGGGTGTTGAGATGTGTCATGGGGTTCTTGAGCAGTTCCCGTACCACAACGGCCTGGCCTTGGTAACAAGCAGCAGCCAGAAGAGACATGCCAGGTCCAAGTTTGTCAGAGACCGTGGTAGTGGCATTGACATCCCCTCCAGCGTTGAGCCAAGCTCTCACATGCTGCACCCGACCCTCCATAGCAGCCTCACGCGCGGCCTGAGAATGGCAAGTGTATGATAGGAATTTTTTGTATAGTAAAAAAAGCTTATTTTTATAATTCCTTCCCCGTGCTCACAATTATGAGCCACAAGAATATAAGAAAAGGCATTAAAAATGTTGAAGCCATTCAAATAAGTAATAATAATTACAATAATAATAATGTTTATTGAAAGAAAAGTACATACATACACAGTGAGACACAAAAAGAATGTTGGCTTTTTAGATAGAGGAAGTATATACTATGTCTGAAGCCACTAATATGTGCAGTGATTTGGGCACGAAGTGGGAAAATAAACTTTAAAAATAAGACTTAAAACTAATTGAGATCAAAACCAAAATTGAACGGAAGAAGAACAAAAATAAAAACATGACAATAATTACATGTTGTATGAAGCAACAGAAATTGCAGCAGAACAGCAGATAGTAATGTTAACTAAATTAACAGAAGGACTACAATTTTCTTGAAGCTTATACATAAAAGATATCAGCAGTTTTACTAGTTTAGTCATTTATAATTAATATTTAATAATAGCAAGACATAGGTCGACATTTAGGAAGTAAGGCAGGTTACATGGAGTTGATCAGGTAGTACTTAGTTTCTCTCTTAAAGTGGTTGAGAGAGGGATAGTCGTGATTGGGAAGGTCAATATCTAACATATTCAAGGTTTAATAAGTAAGGGGGCCGAGTGCTGTTTGGGGCCAGAGTTTGTAATTATTCTAATTGCTGATTTGTGTTTAGAAATTAGAGGTCGTAGATCATTTTGGGTAGTAGAACCCCAGGCACAGACACAATATGTGAGATAAGGATAAATGAGAGAGTAATAGAGCATTACCAGGGCAGGGTGAGATACATAATATCTGATTTTAGAAGGAATGTCAACCATTTTAGATTTATTTTTTAGGTATGTTTTGAATGTGTCCCTGGAAATTAAGCTTGTTATCAATGAGAACACCAAGGAATTTATCATCTACTTTGTTACTAATTTGGATATTGTTAATTCTTAGATTAATTTGATCAATTGATTTATTACCAACAAAATATATAGTTTTATCAATGTTAAGGGGAAATTTGTTAGCAGTTATCCAAAGATGGACTTCATTCAGTTGAGTATTCACTGTATCATTCAAAATAAATGGGCTAAGACTGGAGAAAATGAAGGTTGTATCATCTGCAAATACGTTTGGTTTGAGGTGTTGAGAGGCATTTGGAAGGTCATTAATTTAAATGAGACAGAGGAGACGGCCAAGTATGCTGCCCTGGGGAACACCAATGTTAATGCCTAGGGTGGGAGAATTAAGGACAATCAATAAAAAAAGACAGTTAAATAGACTTGAAAATAAACACATTCAAATAAAAAACATTAAATATACAGGAAAATAAGGACAATCAAATAAAGACTCAGAGATAGTCCTGGATTGTCAAATAAACAGAGTTAAATAAAGACAGTCAAATAAAGACAGATAAATAAAGACAGTCAAATAAAGATAGTTATATTAAAAACTCTACACCTAAATGGCTGAACATTTATAACTAGCAGAGTTTACAAACTGTAAAACACATTCTATATATATTTAAAATTAAAAATTACAATATTAACCTATCACCGATCCTTTCAGTTATACTTTATATTAATATAATTGGCAAAATTTCAAGTTTATTAGTGATTTATGCCAATGCTCTCAATTTTAGCAACATTAATAGATACAATATAAAAGACAGACGACATAACAAATAACTAAATTTAAAGAAGAAAATCAATAAGAAACATAAATTTTTAAAGATAACTAGCATAATATAAATATATCATTGAGTCCCTGCCGGGATTTGTCAGCAATCATCACCTTCTGGCCAAATATCAGTAGTGTAATTGACGACTACAACCGTCCCCTACGGTTTCAGAAACAGACGGTATTGCATAGACTGTCCTCTCTAGAATTCTAAACAGATGGTATGTAATAGACTACTCCCTTTGTAAATGAACAGTCTATGAACTCACCCTTTTTTAACCAGATGTTATTATTTTTACCGGATGTTATGATTTCAGCAACAGCCACTTCTCATTTCTCTATCTTTACTCATTTACTCTTATTTCTCATTACTTCTCATTCTTTCAAACAGAAATCACAATTGCGTGATGCATAAAATGAACAATTTGATGCATTCACAAATTCTTGTGGATTTGTATACAGTACTTCTCACCCTTTCTAGCTGGATGTTATTGTTTTAACTATGTGTTATGGTTTTGGCAAAAACCAGTTGTAAACCACTCTGGTTTGGAGCTTTTTGCCAGTGCCTTTACTAAAAAAGCGTCTCCCTTCCTGTGTTATTGTTTTAAAAAAATGACAATTGTTTTATAATATATTGTAACATATTAACAGACCTTCAAGGTTTTTATGTATTAGTTTAAGATTTTACCATCTCAGTATTGCATAATTTCAGAGTTGAAACTTGCAGTACCCTCCAGTTATGCATGGAATTTATACTAACAGATATCAGTGGTAAATTGGTTATGTTTCACAAAATTGTTGATTTGTATATGACTTAGAAATTGTATACCTTCATCAAACCTTAGGGAAAAATATTAAGTTATATGAAAGTTTTATTATTGGTAAGTCGATTGATTGCATAGAAGTTCCACTGAAAGGTCTTAGATTGATATGTGAGAATTTCAGAAGAACGTTTTTATTTCGAATACCTGGAAAAATATCTATTTTTAACCTTTGACACTGTGAAACATTTTGGGTATGGGATGTTTATTCCTTTAAATTATATACATTAGGTCCTATTCAGAGATCTCATGGGATATTTGTATGAATTTACAAGTAAAATAATTAACTATTTAATTCTCCTTTTATGGAGATAAAGGTTGGTATGCAGATAATCAAGTTACGTTGGTAGAACCTCATAACTAGTAACGATGTTGGTAACTTATTCATATTGTAACTTTAGATTAAATGCATTGGAGTGACAATATTGGCCTAGCATTTCTCGGTGTGTTTATAATAATAATAATAATAATTTTTATTTAGGTAAAGGTACATACATAAAGAGATTTTACAAAGTTTGTTGGCTTTATAGATAGAGCTAGTACATACAATGCCTAAAGCCACTATTACGCAAAGCGTTTCGGGCAGGAAAAAACACTAATGACTAAAGCTTAAAACTAATGGGTAAAAAGAAAAAAATGCGTTGAGTACAAATAAAAATAGAGGTAAAAGAGGGGGGAACATTGTTGAAAAAGCAGCACAAATACAATTACAATTACAGAAAATTACATTCAAACAGCGTTGATTTGAAAATAAAAAAAAACAAAAAACATACATGGGTTGACAATAGAGGGGTAAGGTAGGTTACAGGGAATTTATTAGGTATAGCTTCGCTTTTAACTTAAACTGGTTGAGAGAGGTACAGTCTTTAACATGGTTGGGAAGGTCATTCCACATTCTGGGCCCCTTGATTTGTAGAGCATTTCTGGTTTGATTAAGTCGTACTCTAGGAATATCAAAACTGTATTTATTTCTGGTGTGGTGCTCATGGGTTCTGTTACAACCTTCTATGAAGCTTTTGAGATCAGGATTGGCATTATAGTTTAGCGTTTTATATATGTATAATACACATGAGAGAATGTGCAGTGACTTAATGTCTAACATATTCAGAGATTTGAGTAGGGGTACCGAGTGATGTCTGGGGCCAGAATTGGATATTGTCCTAATAGCAGCTTTGTGTTGAGTAATTAGAGGACGTAAGTGATTTTGGGTAGTAGAGCCCCAAGCACAAATACCATAGTTGAGATATGGATAGATAAGGGAGTAATAGAGAGTCACCAGGGCAGGGCGTGGTACATAATATCTGATCTTAGAAAGAATGCCCACAGTTTTTGAAACTTTTTTTGATATGTTTAGAATGTGTCCCTGGAAATTCAGCTTGTGGTTAATGAGAATGCCAAGGAATTTGCCATCTAATTTGTTACAAATTTGGGTATTGTTTATTTTGAGATTTATTTGATTAGAGGATTTATTGCCAAACAGAATATAGAAAGTTTTGTCAATGTTAAGGGTGAGTTTGTTGGCAGTTAGCCACAGATGGACTTTATTTAGCTCAGTATTTACTGTGGCATTTAGAGCAAGGGGATCAGGACTGGAGTAAATGAAGGTTGTGTCGTCAGCAAATAGAATTGGTTTGAGGTGTTGGGAGGCATTTGGAAGGTCATTAATGTAGATGAGAAAGAGGAGAGGGCCAAGTATGCTGCCCTGGGGAACACCAATGTTGATGGGTAGGGTGGGAGAAATTGTATTATTCACAGAAACACATTGGAGCCTGTCAGTAAGGTAGGATTTGAGGTATTGTAGGGAGTGTCCTCTGACACCATAATGATGTAATTTAAGAAGAAGGTTTTGGTGGTTGACAGTATCGAAAGCTTTACGCAGGTCCACAAATAACCCAACAGGGAACTCATTTTTATCAAGAGCTGTATGAATCGAGTTAAGCATACTAATAAATGCATCGTTAGTGCTTTTTTTGGGCCTGAAGCCATATTGGCAAGGGCTAAGTATATTGAGTTTGGCTAGATATGAGTAAAGCTGCTTATAGATTAGTTTTTCAAAAAATTTTGACAAGTTTGGCAGGATTGATATAGGTCTGTAGTTGTTAACATCTGTGAGATCACCACATTTGTGGACAGGCGTTACTCTCGCTTTTTTTAGAATATCTGGAAAGGTTTGGAGTTCAAGTGTCTTGTTGAAGAGCAAAGCAATAGCAGGGGCTAAAGATCTGGAGGCTTTTTTGTAGATTAAAGTTGGTATCTCCTCAAGGGCACCAGACTTGGTTTTAAGGGAAAGGATTATCTCATTGACGTCAATGGAATTAATAGGCTTTAGGTACAGAGACTGGGGATAGTTCCCTGTAAGATAGTCCTTAATGTCAGTACTGGAAGATGGAATATCATTAGCAAGGGATGAACCAATGGAAGAGAAGAACCTATTGAACTCAATAGCAG